CTTCTGTGTATTGCCTCCAATATCTTTTGATTTCTTCTTGGTCTTGTAGTGTGTTCTTTTTCTTGTCATGAAATATTCTGGCCCTTGGTTTGAACCTCCCTTTGAGTTCCTGGATTTTGTGGAAGAGGTCTCTTGTTTTTCTCTTTTTGTTGCTGTCTTCTAATTCTTTGCATTGTTCATATTTCTTTGCATTATTCGTTATGTAGTTTGACACCACTTTAAAAGTTGTAGTTCCATCCTATGGAAACCTGGGACATATCATATTACAAGGGCTTTAGACTTCTTAGAGTGCTGGTGTCTCACAAATTTACAAATCACAGGATTATGTAGGATGACATCATGGAAGTTAGTGGTGTCAAACTGCATTATTCTACAGTGTAGTTGTAGCTTCAGTGTTCACAGTCAAGGCTTGCTCACTTCTTCCCTCCACTAAAGGCCCCTATGGTCAAAAAAGGGTCAATGGATTTTCTGAAAATGTTTGGAATTGAGCCCTGAGGTCTTCAGAAGGAAGCAAAATTGAGAGAATTTGTCAGGAATTATTGTGCAAACTAAAGTGCCTTTCTACTTACACATAGCATCTTTAGATCCAGGGCAATTGCTTTACTTTCATTGTCATTGCCTTATCACATCAGTATTTTCAAGTGTGATGTTTTTAAGTTATAATACTTCCTTTGTCTCTTTCTTTATAACTAAGCACATTTTTAGTTCATACTATAAATTTTAGGCCCTCAGCAGAGTTGTGGTTTAGAACTTTTTCATGAACCTGTAAACATGATTTCTTATAAAACAGCATTTATTTATTTTCATTTGTAGAACTGGCACAAATTTTAACTAGCGTTGTTAATGAAATGTCATGCAACTGTGAAGCATTATTAAGTCATCACTCAGAACAGAATAGAAGCACAGTAGTTGAGTGTTGTAACTTACACAGGAGATTAGTTTCCGGAAACATTGAAACCAATGAATATGGCAGCTGCATTATTCAAATATTGTACTGAGGCCCAGATCAATTTGTTAATTCATGCATACAAGCATTCAGTATTAATTCATTCACTGTGTTTTTGGAGCCATCTATCATCCATGCAAATATTTAGCCATTTCAGTTTAATACAAGTTTTCCAAATGAAGTAAGTATAGTATGAACATTTTAATTACTATATTAATAATTCTTTGCTTTTTACTGATTAAATGTGAATAAAAACTACTATATAAAATTCTACAAAGGAAAGAGCTATTTTTAAAATAACTGTATCGAGCAGAGTTTCTTGTTTGGGACCAACCAAAAAATGGTTAGTAATCTGGGAAGCAGAATCAGAGTGGTGCAGTGGTTTGGGAGTTGGACTAGGACACTGGGAAACCGGGGTTTGAATCCCTTTAACATCACCACAAGTCAGAAATGACATGAAAGCATGCAACAACAACAATCTCAGGAGTGGCTCACTGATCAGTACATATTGATCAATTTGGAATTTCTTTTTAAGGAAGTCATTAATTCTATTACAGTTTTCTCCCATATCAAAGCAATAGAAGAAGAGAAACAGTTGAACCTTATTTTACTGGAAAGAAGCCAGTTCCTTCCCTTCACCAGTCTGTATTTCCCCTTTCCTGTTTGGGAAATCCTAAAATGTTTATGTTTCATTTGCTTCCATCTACAGACTGAAGATTAGTCACATTAGTCACATCTTTAAAAGAGTGCCAGGAGCCATCTACCTTAGTTTTAAATAGCTACTTTATTCCTGCTGAGGCATTCTTTTGTTGGAGCAAGGAACTTTTGCCTAAAGTCCAGGAGAAAATACCAAATTAAAGCAAGATATGGATCAGTTGGCTAAACTGCCTGTATATATGGAGGACGCCAGTTGTTCTGTTTGCTTATATTTTGACCCACTATGCTACTGAATTTTCTTGAACAACAACAGGGGTTACAATTATGTTGTTTTTTGTAGTTTCCATTCCTTAAAAATGCATACATCAGCACAAGTAACAACAGCATTAAAACATTCAGCAATAAACCCAAACACAAAAACACAACATTTATAAAAATTGATAAACACATCAATTAATCTATAGCAGAGCTAGCCCATCATAAATGCTATGATAAAGAAAAAAGTCTTGGCCCAGCAGTGACATTACAGTAAGGTTAGTGTGGGGAAAGCATCCCAGAGTCATATTAACAGGGTAACATTAACAGAGAAAACCCATTTTATGTTTCAGATTGAAGTTGTTCTAGCCTTATCTACAGATGCCAGCAATTGAAGCTTGGACCTTTTACATGCAAGGCATATATATTTTGCCAGTGAGCAATAGTTTGTCAGGAACTCCAGGCTTCTCCAGTTGTTTGATACAATCACATACTTATATGCTGTCTTTTGACCCTAAAAGGGAGCTTCGAAAACAGGTCCAATTAAAACAAAATAGAATTATAAAAACTTTTGAAATCCAAACTCAAAACATGAAAACATACATTTTTTACCAATGAAAACTTGAGTGTTCCCCCCCAATCTTAACTCTTGATTTACAGCTGAAATGAAAGACAAATCAAAAATTTTAAAAGAGAGATTTCCAAAGCCTGAGGGCTACAGGCTCCATTAAAAAGGCATTATTTTTTTCCTATATAGCTGGATTTCCAGAGCAATGACTTTCATGCTAAGTTCAGGGATCCAGTAGGATTGTATTTGAAGAGCCAGTCCTGCAAACATCCTTATCACATATTATTTAGGACTTTATAGGTATGAAACTGTATTTTCAAGTGTATTGAGAAATTAACCACATGAACTGAAGCAAAATTGGAATGGTGTTATCAGAAAAATACTATTTAAAGATCCAACTGACTATTGCATTTGAGCACATTGCAGAAAATGATGACACAAGCAAAATATGTGTGAGAGGGCAGGTAGAATTTTATCCAGGAATTTGTACCTTGGCTGACCACCCAAAACTGTGAAATTCTTCTAGCCATGGGCTAACGCCTGGCATTCAGGAACCTGGCTATTTCTCAGAAGCATTCTCAAACTATAGATCTGATCTTTTAAGGGTATTGCACAACCCCACCCAGAAGATGACATATCCCCCTCCCACTTCCTTACAAATCAGAAACCCCTCTGCCTTATCTGTGTTATACCTCAGTTTATTCACCTACATCCAATCCATTAGAGTGTTACTGCATCCAGACTTCAGTTTAGAAATTCTACTGCTTGTCCAGCATTAGATAGGAAAGACAGAGAATTCTGCAAATCAAATTTAAGGGTAACTTCTGGTTATCCAGTGTTTAGCTGTAGGTTAAAAAAAATCAGGAGCAAATATTTTGGCATAGGACAGTTTGTTGTAAGGAAGATTTAATAGCTTGTTATGTCCTATTTATAAACAGAAGTCACTTAGAGTTCAGCAGATATATTTAGGATCAGCATTTGTGCATGGTGTTACAGCTAAATAAAGTAATGCTGGAGCAGAGTACCAGAAGTGTAAGAAAGCAGAAATTCAGAGTTATCGTTTATTAATAAAATGAAAATTTTCAACTCTTTTAATATAATCTGTAAACAAATCATACATGGGTTTTGCATTTTGGCTATTTCAAAAATGAAAATAATCATATTTTACAAAGATTTCTCATTATACCTGTTGAAGTCATAGAGTATTATTTACACATATTCCAGAGGAAACTTTCTGTTTTATCACTTGGCAGTTGCATTGGTTCTGATATTATATTTGTTTGGCTGAACTCATGTTAACTTTCTGTAATAAATTGCAAGAATACCTAAAAATTTCAGAGTTCTTCTATGACATGTGCTATATTGTATCGCATTCCATGAAATAATTTCTAATCTAATTTCTGGTTTGCTTAATTTAAGTCATTTGTAAATGTTTGTGTCTGTTGGGGAGGGGAGTTAGCTAACCTGTCAGTTTAACATATGAATTTTATAGCATATGGTAAACTAAAACCATGGTGACCTTTTGGTCTTGGTGATCACATGGATGAAGATGATCATCTGATAATCTGTACTAATCATTCTGAAATAACACCTGTGCAGAAGGCTGCATAATAAATACTGCTTATTTCTGCTGTATTTACTTTTCTAGAAAACTTTTCCATTTAAAAATGATTTAATGTGCTGAGCTTAAAACTCCAGTATCATGAGTCTGCTTATGCAATTGTTGTACTTCATATTGAATTTTAGCCACTTTCCTCAATATAGTCACTTAAACCCATCATAGATAATCTTAATTAAAATATTGGTCACATTTCTGCTATGTTTTAATATGTTTTAATGCTGTTTTAAATTGTCTTGATTTAATACTGTTTTAAGGGGGGGAGGGGGGCATGTTGTATTATATGTTTTATCATGGACTGTATGTTTTAAATTTGTAAGCTGCCCGGATTGGATTACCATTGGGCGGGGTATAAATAAATTTTATTATTATTATTATTATTATTATTATTATTATGCTGACAACTTCTTTATTTCAGCTAGTCTCAAAGGTGTTAAAGATCTCACTACATATCTTCAGTAGTATACATACTTTATGAAAATTTAATTTTCCCCAGTAAGTTTTTATGATACCATTATTGCAAATAAACCCACTTTTTTGTAATATTGCTTCAATCAGGAGATATCTTGAAAAGGTTGAATGATCTTTTTCAGGTTTGTTTTAATCCTCTCAGATGAGAATGTATGAGTATTTCAGGACAATAGATAGCATAGTCTTGCATCTGTTTCCTGCCCCCTCAGAGGATTTGTCCCGCTTTGTCACAAGGCTAGAGCCATTGGTTCTCCTTTCCTGGGAGGCATGATACCAGTTGATTCTGTTTTGTAGAAGGAATGGGGCTGGGCTGCTTTTAGATGATAGCAGCCACCAGAGGACATGGCGTTAGTGTGGAAACATATTGAAAGCATTTGCTGAGCTCTTTCATAGACTAAGGCCCATTTATAAATGTTTTCCAAAGGGGTAGCTATATTGCTCCTTCCTCCTCCTGAATATTCTGTGTCTAATCTAGGGGTGAGAGAGTCAGTGTAGTATAGTGGTTTGAGTGTTAGACTATGACTCTGGAGACCAGGGTTTCAATCCCTGTTCAGTCATGGAAACCCATTGGGGTGACCCTGGGTGAGTCACACTCTCTCAGCTTCAGAGGGAAGCAAAGGCAACCCCCCTCTGACCAAATGTTGCCAATAAAACCTTGTGATAGGTTCGCCCTAGGGTCGCCATAAGTCATAAATGACTTGAAGGCACATAGCAGCAACAATCCCAGGGTGAGAATCAGGCATATCTCCAGATATTGTTGGATAGTGTGTCACAGCATTACTTATCATTAGCTGCACTGGTTGGGGTTTCTGGAGGTTTCAGTTCAACAACATCTGGAGAGCTGCCCAATTTCCAACACTTGTTTAACCTGTGCTTTCTATTCCCTAAAGAGTGAATAGTGCTGTTTAGTGGAGAATTGGTTTCATGGCCATAAAACTATATAAAATAGATGATCTCCACCTTTCTTGGTTGTATCATATGACACTGTTTAGTAACTTGGACACTTCTGGCATGAAATCCAGTCATATTCATTTGCTGATCAAACAACATTGCTAGTGAAGCAGTCCTTCTGTATCCTTTTCCAATATACACTGGAGGGTTTAGTGACTCTCCGGAGCCATTTGCAGGTGCATATGGGGTTACAGGGAAAGGAAAGGTTAGGAAAGGGCAAGAAAAACCTGTTCTTATGAAGTTAAATATACCTGCTTTTTTTCCTTCTTTCTCTGCGATACAGGATCAAGGTACAAGGTACAAGTGTATTTGGAGAAAGCAAAGTGTTCTTCTAATGCTACCCACTTGGTATATGACTGTAAGATTTAGGAAGGTGGTTTTTAACCCAGGGAGGGGAGGGTTATGATCCCTTTGAGAATCTGATGAAAGCTAAGAATGTTCTCCACACAAAAATACACATAAACATGTGTACAAAATTTTGCATACAGTTAATTTCATTATGGTGATGATGATGATTGTACATTACTGACCATGTACAGGGGCACATTATATCACCCTACACTTGTTTGGAGTGAAACAGTAAGTTAATCACATAATTTGACATCAAAAACATCTTTTTCACAAATACATTTTCCTAAGTAACAATAAAGCAGAACAATAAGGTAGTTCTTAGGTTGGTATGGCCATATAAACATATAAAACAATTAAGTAAATGAATATACGCATGAGGCTGACAAATAATTACATTCAGTGGCATATGGGAATGACAATTTATGGGTAACATTAGTACAAAAAACATTACTAAAGATTTTTTTCCTTTCATAATATTTTATTATTTTTTTAAAAATAATAACTCACAAACAAAATTACCTACTTCCATACCCCTATATCTCCTTTAAATTCCTTTCCTTCCATACAATCCCCACTATTTATACATTCACTCCACAGATTGACTTCCTAATAATAATATACAGTAGTTATTACTTCTTTTTCTTACACCAGTTTAAGTAACTTCATTAAATTAGTCCTCATAACCTCTTTTTGGAAGGGTTTCATTTTTTAAAAATATACTTTCATTATTATCTCTTCCTTGTTTGTTTTTTATTCATACTTTAAATATTCCTATCATTGATTATTATTACTCCTCCCTTAGCTTCTTTATCTTTTCCCATTTTTTTGTATTGTTGGATTGATTTCCCATTAATAGATATTGTTAATCTATCCCTGTGTTGGCGAACCTATGGCATGTGTGCCATCTCTGCCACACGAAGCCATTTTGCAGAGCATGGGGAGAGATGGGAGGGTGGGGGGGAAAGGAGGAACAAGCATGCGCCTGCAGCTCCTCTTCCTCTGCCCTCCCATCATTTCAACTGCCTCTCCAGAAACAGTTAAAGACATGGGAGGGAGAAGAGGAGGAACAGGCACCCACCTGGGTCTTCAACAGCCTTTCTCCCGGGTCTTTAGCTGCCTGTTCCTCCTCTTTCCCATTGTCCCAGGGCCTTCAGCTGTCTCTGGAGAGGCAGCTGAAAGACTGGACAGGGGGAAGAGAAAGTCCCACCCCCCCAGAAGGTGGAAGTCCCACCCCTGGAAGTCCCCCCACCCCAGCATCAGGTAACACCCCATGCCAGAACATCTTTAAGTTTGGGCACTCGGTCTCTAAAAGGTTCGCCATCACTGATCTATCAATTAAGGCTAAGTCACTTAGCTTTAATAGCCATTCTATCATAATAGACACAGTTTTATCTTTCCAATATGTTGCACAAATCATTCTTGCTGCAGTGATCATATAAAATATTAGACCTATTTCATCTTGATTTAGCTTATCTTTTATAATATCTGTAATGTTAAGTAGAAAGAGTTCAGATCTTAAAGGTATGTTCTCATGTAGTGTTTCTGTAATATTTTGGGGGAATATTTATCCAAAAGTTCTTTATCAATTTCCAATGCCACCACATATGGCATAGTGTCCCAAGTTCTTTTTTGCACTTCCAGCAAATATTATTATTATTCTTCTGTATTTTTGCTAGCTTGGTTGGTGTTATATACCACCTGAAGAATAGTAAACATTACTAAAGATTCTATCTAGTGTGGTATGGGAGGGGGTCAATGTGGGAGTGACATCATGAGTTTTTGCACCAGGTGACACAACCCCTAGTGATGCCATTGAGACTATTTTTCCTTTTTAAAAAAATACAGTGTTGAAGGACTGTTACTTGCATTTGTGTATAATATGTAGTTAACTCCCTAAAATGTTCAACAGGCTAATGTAATTATCTTAAATAGGAAGGTAAGCAAGACTAAGGATTATTTTGAAATACATTCTCTGAAGAGAAGACATCAGGATCCGGAAGGCTAAACCTTTGATTGTAGTTAGACTTTACATGCAATAGAATATATTCAATAGTCTTCAAAATTAATATACAGCATCCAGTTATATCCCTATTGCCACAGACACATGTGGGCAAAGTAAGTGATACTGGAAAGTCAATTATTTCTCCTTGATACCCAGTGGATTGCGTGATGTACACTGATTGTGTTTGACTAGATAGGGCAGGGGTAGGCAACCTTTCCCCTTTAAGGGCCGAGGGACTTCAGCTCCCAGATGCCTCAGCCATGTTGGCCAATAGTCCCATGTTGGCCAATAGCTCCTGGGATTCTGAGAGCTGAAGTCTCTCAGCCCTTAAAGGAGAAAGGTTGCCTACCTCTGAGATAGGGATTGGATGCTGGAGAGACTTGCTCTTTAGTATGAGACATTAACCTGTGGGAATATTGTCGGCCAGCATTCTCAGAGACCTGTAACATTTGGCAAACAAAAGTAAGATAAAAAGCAAATGTTTATGTATAATGAGATATTCACCCCCACCTTAAATAAATAAATACATGTCCCTTTATACATAGTAGAATGTATTGTAATTTTTGTTTTATATGTTCCAACTCTTCTTCAGTTCTTATTCCCTACTGATAGACTTAGAGGTAACAATTTCAGTACTGCTAAACTCACATCCTGAGATACAAATATTTCTATTGACAAATGACTTTTGCAGAATTTTGCTGAATAAAGCCATTTCTGTATACGAGCAAATGACCACCTGCAACTGTTTATCATATAGCTTTGTTTGGGAATACTGGTAGTAACTAAAAACGTAGGAATGTGTGACATGCTAGAACCCAGCTGTGCTTTCCTAACTTTTTCCAGGGGTTAAAATAAATGGTGACTTTTGTTCATTTTTAACCTAGCAGGCCTAATAAATTCTTAACCCTTTCATTGATGTTAAATTGTAATCGGAATAATATTTTAGTCATATAGATGCAGTTGTGGATGCAACCAGAAACATATGGGTGACCAGATAACTTCTCTGCATTCTTTATGCTGCATTTTGCTCATATCTCTGTACCTTTAGATTGTCAGGAATCCACTGGAGTGCTTATTAACTGACCACTTTAGACTATACTCATGATTCACTGATGCCATCATGGAATGGCAGCCATAGATAAGTTGATGGTGAGATATCCTGGATCTTTGGATGCCATGCGGGGTTTAGATATCCATTTCCTCTGATAAAAAACCCCAATATTGCTTCATTTGTTATACTTGTTGAAAAATTGCATACAAAATATGAACATAAGTGACCAGACACAAGACAGGAAATGATGGGAGAAAGCACAGAGTTGAATCATAGAGTTGGAAGATACCACAAAGGCCATCCAGTCCAACCTTCTGCCATGCAGAAATATGCAATCAAAGTGCTCCTGACAGATGGCCATCCAGGCTCTGTTTAAAAACCTACAAAAGGAGACTCCACCACACTCTGCAGGAGCATATTCCACTGTTGAACAGCTCTCACTATCAGGAAATTCTTCAGGATGTTGAGGTGGAATCTCTTTTCCTGTAGTTTGAATTCATTGCTCCGATATCCTTTCAAATATTTGAACATAGCTATCATGTGACCTCTTAACCCTCTCTTTCCAAGGCTAAATGAATTCAACTCCCTTCATAGGGCATGATTTCCAGACCTTTCACCATTTTGGTCATCCTCCTCTGGACACACTCTAGCTTGTCAATATCCCTCTTAAATTGATTTTTTTAATTTATCATTTTTATTGATACTGGTTTTTTTAAAAACAACATTAAAAAGAAATCACACACATTTGTAACACATGCAAATCACATACGTATTCACTATACAATTTACATAAGCTTTACTAAACATTACACAAATCATCCATATGCCATCCATTACTTCCTTGTTTGCAGCATTTACTAAGTTTTACTTGTCTGAACTTATCCTTTTAAGAGGCTATCTTGTAGTGAAGATATAACATTCTCCTTCCTTTATTTTGATATCCCTCTTAAATTGTGGTGCCCAGAACTGGACACAATATTCCAGGTGAGATCTGATCAAAGCAGAATAAAGTGACACTATTACTTCCCTCAATATAAATACTACACTCCTATTAATGTAGCTTAGGATCATATTGCCATCTGCAAATATGTTTCACAATCATAATATCTCTTCTTGCAGTCATATCACAACAGTATGGTTGAAAGATCATTATCCCTGATGATCACATCAACATACCTTTACCTACATGTAGAATCTAGCTT